GCTCGTTGAGAAAACATGCGATGACAAAAGTGAAAACCAGCGAAGAAATGGCTAGAGTTGCCAAGTTCCCCTTTAAAGTTTGTGGTGTGAGACATGCTTTTGGAAAGGGAAAAAAGTAATAATGTCTGCATCGATGTCAAGGTCTGAGACATCTCAACAGCACCAGAGTTCAATACTCTAACCTTAAGAGTTAGGTAATAGTTTTAAAAAACTTTGACATTTGTAAAAGTCACAGCAGTTCCCAAAGTTGCCCGTGGTTCAAAATCACTTTAAAGGTCACACTTACTTTAATTTAAGACAAGTGCGTCATTTGTGGTGGTCCCAATACCACTCTCACAACTTGCTGTGCATACGCTGTATGTCGTGGTAGGGTATGAACCATCACACTCACATCACCCCGTTTTAAAAGTTTAACACAAAAGTTTATTTTTGGTAAGATAAAGTGGTTCCCTATTTATTCTATCCTTATTTCATGGTCTCTGTCAAATTGAACAATACATTCTAAGCCTTGAGACATGCAGTCAAGCATAGCATTTTTACAATACAGTACTTTTCTTAAAATACTTTGTATTCAATTGGTATTGTCAGATATTACAGTACATTGTCATTAAAACTGTGGTATGCTGTTTTGACAAGAAATGAGGAGATAAATACAGCATTCATTGTATGTAAGCAAAACAAAATATACAATAGGTAAAAAAACAAAACAAAAACAAATTCAGAGCAAATCTACAATTTTACCTGTAAAACAGTGGGATAGTTGGCTGTCAAACATTTAATTTCTACGTTTAAGAGTCCCAAGGAACTATTATGTTTCTTATAACAGTTTATTCAGAATAAACTCCATATTATACAAGTGTGGACATCTTTGAGATCTAAATTCCCAACTACACAGCAGCTTCATTATCACACAGACATGGAAATACATCTGTGGAGAGCATTTTGTCTGACGTGATACTGGTGGACAAAACAATGCAATAATTTATACAATTTATGCAACCAAAGGATGGAATGAAACATTTCCCAAACACCGTTGAAAGATGCTCAAAACTATGGTCCATTATGATGACTTGATACAAGCAGTCCACATGAAAGGCTTTAAGGGACACACCTGACTCCTACCTTATTGTGTGGTGTTATTTTCCAGAGGATTTCAGTGCAATTAACAGTGTGTCATCGTCTACGAAAAGTAAGTGTTTCCTCTATTATCATTCAGTACTTGAGTGAAAAAACTGTCGTAAAAATATTTGAGGATTTCTTTAGCATTACAACCAACCGACCAATAAAATCATGTGCGCTGACTGGTAAGAATGAAAGTTAAAACACTGTAAAGTTGAAGAGTAGAGACCAAAGTTCCATGACAGCAAAAGAGGCGATTCTTCAAAGAGGTAAGGAATGGACTGTGTGGCCTTGGATTCAGCAAAAAACAAAAAAAAAAAACAAAAAAAAAAAAACGCACTATGTTTTTATTTTTAATTCCTCATCATTCATCTTCGTCCTCGCTATCATCCTCCTCTTTTTTCTTCTCGTTATCCTTGGGTGGGATGACGGGGGGAGGAAGGTCCAGACGTGCCCATGACATGGGCTCGGACTTCTTCATGGCTACCTCAATCTTGGCGGCCATCATGTTCACGATACTTTTACTCACATCTATCACCTACGAGGAAAGGAGGGAGCGTGACAAAAGACAGGCTTAAATCATGTATTAGACACAAGACTTCAGAATTCAAATTCAAATTGGCAGACAGCTAAAGGTCAAAATACTTTTTAAATCAAGTTGAAAGTGAAGGTGTACTTACTCCCCACAAACTGATTTTCTGCTCAAATTCCTTCTCTCCCTCAAATATAACACGGATGTTGAGCTGAGGGATAAAAGAGAGATGAGTATTAGGCTGAGAAGAAGACAATGAAAAACTAAGCAGTTTAGATATGATAGAAATCTTCTGACAGGCTATAATATTCCTCACCGTGGTGCTGTTTGCATCCACATAGCTCAGCTCTGGGACGGCATTCTTGGCATAGATAGAGATGATGACCTGTGCCCCGGTCTGGTGCCAGTCAAACCGACACGGAACCACCTTCTTACCCTGCAAGGAGATTTCGAACATCGTTAGATCATCGGATACACAAATTCAGCCATTCAGTCTCTACCACAAAGCACCGTCTCTACTGTGCTTCTGTTTAGCAGACGCCACTAGATGGAGTCACAGCTGAGGCTCTCTTATGCAGACATGCAGGCACATATAAATGATCACTTGCTGTCAAGCAGGCACACCTACCGCATCCTTTTTCCTCCATAGATGTGTCCCCTTGGTGCAGCCCTCTTGAGAGAGGAAGGTGTTAAAGTCGGAGGTTTTCCTCTTACAGCAGCTCCAGTATTTCATCCTGGCAGGAAAGACATACACCAGCTGGATTTTAGCAATCAATAACATGTCACTCAAGAGAACCAGAAAACAAGACTAACAGGAAAACTAACAGGAAAATAATACACTTGGAGTTTCCAGAGAATATCTACTACTTCATGTCAATACAGTGAAACACAGATGGAAAGCTATAGGGGTTTTAAGCTTGAAATCATTTTTTTATAAGGCAAAAAATGATCAGTAATACTAACCCTTCATGGAAGATAGGAAATCCGGCGTGGTATAAGCACACATCCGAATCACTTGCAGGTCCATCATAACTCTGAAGATGACAAAAAATTGTTTTATTAATGAAACTTAATAGTTATAGGTTATTGAACTGAGAAGTCTTAAATGATTTCTGCAGCACTGTCATCAGACGAACTGAGGCACGCAGATAGATCTCTTAAAATCTATTTAGTATTAAAGCAAATTTTTGAATATTATTGTACTGATTTAGGTAAAAGTATCATTTTCTGGGAATAAGTAATGACTTCTTTTTTTTTTTAAAGTACCAATTTAGACTCTTTGAAGACCCCAACTGATTAATCAGCTAAAAGCCAGCAGCTCTTGAGAGAATGTCTCACGGCTTTCAATCAAATCAGTTAAACTACAATTATGTAAATCATTAAAGTCCCTCTTCAAGCTTCTAAAAAACACAAGTCAATGCAAATGTTCCTCACAATTTACTTTCTAATCTTGGGGTTTCTGCTCTGACAGCCCACATTAGCGTGAGCAACATCGTTTTGCTTTGCATTCGTCTCAGAGCAAACACGGAGGAGGAGGAAAAGGAGCTGTATCTGCTTCCACTCACCGGTGAGCTCTTTTGGGGCGTTGCAATTTCTTTGTCAGGATCAACTTGGATCACGATTTGTTTTTGTTTTCATTTATTGACGTCTGTTCATAAATTTATTTTCAAATACGTTAAATTAATTTGGCTTAGAAATTGAAGAAGAAGTGGGAAATTATCTGGAAGAGTCTACAAGCATAAATTAGCGTGAATTTAAAGGAAACATGTAAACATTTAAGCTGCTGTTGCCAAAGCCATACCAGAAGTACGGATAGAGATTTTACTTATACATTTCAACACAATGAGAATTTATTTCAGACTGTTTTCCCCCAGTATACAGTGACACATTCACCTACTTTAGTACATCCTCCATTTTTGCAGGATGTTCCAATCTTGATCTCGTCACTATCTTCCTCTGGAGAGACAGAAAGAGAGAGACAAAGAATTGACACCCATGTTCTGAAGAGCGTCTGGAAAAGGCATCCGGTTATGATTAGTTGTCCTGTCCCTGTCAGCTTTTACTCAAATGCCATGACGTGAGTGACGCAGGTGAGGGCAAATTCCCAGCGGCCATCCATTAACTTCCACTGCCAACATGACCTTCCTGTCTACTATAACAAGAAGTGGAAGGTAGTAGTAGTATGATAAAGTGGACAGAAAGAGGGGGGAGGAGAAAAGTCTGTCCTCACCTTTATCCTCTGCTGCATTTTCAGAAAGCTTCAGTTTCTCCAGAGCCTGTTTCAGAGAACCAGAGACTTTATGCTGTAATCTCACCATCGGCTCATCGGGGCTGTAATGGTAATAAAAAATAAGTCATGAAACAATAACAACGGTCGATTCAAACTTTATCTGTTTTTTAATTAGTTTGTGAATATAAAACTATCTGGAAGATGGATTTTTACTTCAAGTAAGGGATACATTACTGGAAACATCACTTCAAAATTAGTTCTCGGATACAAAGCCAGCCTAAGACCAATACACTACTTGAAAGGAGTTTCACTATTCAGTAGTAATCGCCTCATCAGTCGCTTGTCCACTTTCTTTTGAACTGGAAGTATCCAGGGTAAAAAAAAAACAGAGAACGCCTCCGACTATCCTGTGGATCCTTACTGTACCACTGATGATTTCAGGCCGATTTAATAGCTCGGATACTGTATCTACCCTTTTATGCATTTGATACGAAACCAGAATAATAAAGAGCAGAATGTAGACCACAGAGCTAATAAGGCTATGC